ATACGAATCAGGCGCTAAAAGGCAACTACTGGTCATTTTCAAGTTCCAAGTGTCACTCATACACTATGCATGACTGCCTCTAATTACCAGATAGATTTTTGCAATACCAAGACTGTTTGTGACCTCTCTGGACTGAAAGCTTCAAAACAGATGCCATCAGCAAATAAGTATTTTTTCCCACTTCAGTTCCTTAATGCTGCAACCAACACCTAGTTTTACGATATTAGAAAATAAATTGTGTCTTCCTTTCCATAACTTTCCACTTAAAGAATTTCCACTTATCTTGTCTCTGTCAATAGTTTAGGCAACAAAAAAAGTTGCCTTTGAATCAAAAATGGAAAAAGGACAAATTATCAGGGTTTTGTTTGTTTTCTATATACCAAAGAGACTGCACCCTTACTCAGAACTCTGTTCAATGCAAATAACGACCATGAAAATAATATAAAGTTACTGTGTTGCAATGACTCTGCAATAATAATTATCTGAACAAAAGCACTGCAGATGACATGCTAAAAGATGCCATCTGTAATAACAACATGATTTCATTCAAGGACTCTCAGAATTGTTCATCATTGCAAATACTGACAAAAACAGAGCAATGCACTTCAGCAAATAATTTTAAGCATGTTTCTAACTGACAAATAATTGACTCAATTTAGAATCAAAGGATAAGAAACACAAAATATTTTCTAGCTTGTACTTTTTGTAAGACAAAGTCAATGAAGTAACATCAGCAAAGTCAGCTCAATACCATCAGAGCAGGACTGCACAGAAACGTTCATAAAATTAAATTAGTAGAGGTAAGTTATCAGATGGACATTGGACCTATAAAGCACCACGTTTTCTCATCGAGCAGCTAATAATAAATAGCTACCTTTATTCTTTTTTAACAGACAAGAATTGCACAGATAGGATCCACTGCATGTTTTCATTCAGTGGCACAGCCTTTATACTCACAAATGCTTTCTTCCAAGTACTCAACACTAAAAACTTAATGTTTATTCTGAAAAAGGAGAAGATAACGGAAGGAAAGAAGTTTGATTCCAGAGATAACGGCTTGTTTTAATTCCTTTATAGATCAAGGGTAGAATACCTCATCTGTGAGCTTTCGTTTCAAGTTATAAATACCTACACTACTGAAGCTAAAATCAGCTGTAGGAACTGTAAAAGATGCACAGGATACAAGAATGGACTAGCACATGAGCTTCATAAGTTACAAGGAGCGCTACAGTTCTGAGTCACAGCTTAAGGAGTTCAATTACTAGTTCTGGGAACACAGAATAATCTAAAATTTTCAGCACACGCCTCACAGACAGTATTTAAACATGGTGCTCTGTGTTAATGTAGTTATAACGCACCTGCAAGTTTCAAGGCATTTGAGAAATTAACATGACTGCACAAGTTGATTCATTTTACAGACAATATAGCAACATGCATATCTTTTGGTGTCTTCACCCCAAATTACCATGACTGATGAAGTGGTCTTCGGGTCTATCATGTTAACTCTGCCTGAAATGAAATTAAATACTTTCCTAATTTCGTAAAAACATGTCTCTGAAAGTGGAAACAAAGAAGAAGATGGTATTTGCCTATCTTCAAGGTCATGAGCCAAAAAATAATAGTTGAAATAGTTGGAAAAGTGCACACTTACCAACCACAAAATCACCTGAAGTCAGTCTCTAAAATCAGTATACTTCCTCCTTGACCAAAACACATTTTGATGGGAAAAGTAGAGCTGCAATAGAAATTGTCCTCCCAACTTTGAAACTTTGTGCAGTTTGGTAGATGCAGAAGTTCTAGAAGCATGCTTAGTGTTGAAGGAATGTTCTAAAAATTACAAGAAACAGCCTACGTCGTCTCTGACCATAGAAGATGACTTCCTCTATTGAGGAACAGTAATATGTTTTCTTGTTTCCATAAAAGGTACCTTTCCATTCATGCATATCTCTATACCAAATGTTGACTTCCTACTAATACCTTAGGGGCAGTCTAAAATACTCACACATACTGAGAATAGGTAAATACTTAAAAATAGGTATTTCTGCCCAAGTTAACTAGTCTCACTCTCAGTTCAGCCTTACAATTATACTCAAATATTCCAAATAAAAATATGTCAGGAGGAAAGACCAAGTGCACAAATTTCTGGTTAGCTAAAATTTGTCAAAAGTAAAAACAAAAGAAAATATAAAGGTTAAGCAAATGCAGCCACTGAACAATGATATTTCTCTAGCACATATATGATATGGCCTTCTTAGTACAGCACCTGTACTAATCAGACTCACGTGACTTGGACTCTTTACAGCAAAAGAAAAAAAAGTATTAAATAACAAAAAAGTGTGAAACAGCTGGCATCCCTTGGCACCAATAAAAATGTGGTCTTGACTTAATCACTATAAAAGAAATTATTATTTAATGAATGGGAGCATTAAACATTGTCCTATTTTAAAAAGAATGGTATATGGATATCATCAATTTATCCAGTGGAAAAACTAACCCACTGAAATTTTTACACTGGTATTAAGTATTACAATTTTGGTCACAAAGTCAGAGAAGTAAACAAGTTGGCATGAAAACAAGTCACTAAAGAACAACTATGGCTTTTTTTTTTTTTAAACTACTAATATCAATTCTTAGCTCTCTGTTTTAGAGCACTTGCAATATGCAATCTACCTGCATCTCAAACACCTACTCATGAATCATTTAAAAATGTAGTGTTTTGTTATCTATGTGTTACAATTTTACCTGTAAATGTGATACAATTTTTACCTGTAAATAAAGAGCTTTTTAAAACCAATATTATCACGGATACATTCTATTTTCAATGAGTTTCTTTGATATTAGACAAGTCCAGAAAGAAAGAATACATCTGTTTTCATAGGTAATGGAGTATTTTTCACAGTGTTCATTACACCAATCAGTCCCACGATCAGCGCTGCTGATTCCAGACTACTTTACATGTCTCCCTGACCTGCAAAGATATCAAAACAAGAGAGTCCAGCTTCCTATTAATTTATTTTCCTGCGGACACAGTATAGAAAGGATGCATGATGAGCAAAACAGGTCTACACATAGCTTTCCAAGGCAAGTATGCAACATAGAATATGAAACAAGAACAGTTGCTGAAATCCCAGTCACTTCAATTTCCACAAACTAACAGCCCACCCACATTCTATCCAAAAATGCTTACGGGTGCAGAGATTCATCCTTACGAACTCCTCTCTGACCCCCAGCAATGAACAGACACAAGAGTAGCTGCAACCACAGGAAGATCTCTTTCTTCCTCATTGGTGTTTACCAATTTCTGACACAAATTGTGGAAATTCTACCCAAAAATCTGCTGTGGCAACACCCTTATACACAGACTAGTAAGCAATTCCTAACTTTTTGACTAATGAAGTACCTTTTTTTCCTGCTTTTTTAAATTTGTTAATTGCATTTTAATACTATTTTGAAAACCACAAAAAGCAGTATGGTTTCTGTGACTAAACATTATAGGGTGGCTGACAGACTGTCATTTCTGAGCCAGGGGTATAAAATGTGCAAAAAGTACCATGCAATGCAATATTCTTGAGAGACCTGTTACTTAGTTACAGCTGTATATACCCCTAAATTCCTAACCGAGCAAGGAGTAGGGGTCATAATTATCATTCGCAGGAAAACCATGTGAGCCAGAGAAGATTACATTAACAAAAGCTGCCTAAAAAAGGACTCTACTTAACTTCAGAAAAATAGGGTAGTCTTAGTGTTTGCAGAATCATAAAGTTAGAAAGAAAATCCTCAAATAGCAAAAAACTACCTCATCTAAGCAGAGTTGCTATACTACCTTTGAAGTCAAACCTGCAATGAATACAATGGTAAAAAGAGTTGTTTTCTTAGGTTTATGGACAAAATAAAAGTCAAATTCTTTAGATGCTTGTTTGAACCCAAATCAGTACTTTCAGCAAATAAAGAAGTTGATCCTAAGTCTCAAGACAGTAAAATGAAACTACTGATACCAAAATTCTTTGTGACTATCACCAGCAGCATACATGTAACAGCATACATATAACATATAACATTCCCATCAACTTATGGCCCTCAACTGGAATGCAGAAGACCAAATTCCAAATAACTTTTTGCCACATTCAAAGCAAGGGTTAGAATGAAATTTCTCCCAGGTCTTATAAACCATTCACACCAGATCACAGGATACTTTGGAGAATCTTTCCTGTTCCTTTGCTTACGGGATACAGTGTATGAAAAACTCTCTAGCTCAGGAGTCAAGTGACTGAGATAGGACACCCAAATAACATACCTTCTGCTCTGAAGCATGCATATATTTTTACAGCAAAAGAAATAGCTTCAATAGACTAGGAAAAAACCCTCCAAAATACCTTATAAATCAAATATTCAAATATAAAGTCACCAGGCAGTTTTGTTAAGAGCTACACAAGACTAAGGAGAAAGCACATGAAAGCTAAAAATATTCTTGGCCCAGAAACTCTAGTCACAGAACAAGTTTCCAGAGACACAGTATATCCTTCCTCCTTCCACTCCAACCCTCAAAAGCCAATACAAATTTCTATACTACAAATAACTAAATTTGCAAAGGCACCACCTCCTTCTCCCCAAAGATTTAAAAAGCACAAAGGAAAAAGAGAAGGGGAAAACACACAAAAGATCTTTTAACACCAAACAGAGCCAAAAACTCCAGGGAGCAATAAGAACATAGTTGTTAATACTTTTCCACAGATAGCAGTCAAAATACTAAGGTGACAGGCAGCAGTGTAAAACCCTAAAATAGAATGTAGCAGTTAAAAACAGAGAGCAAATGTGTCATAACTTAGTGTTTGACCTCTGCCTACCCTACTACCCTTACGTCTCCCCAAATTCAAAGCAGTCATAAAACTGGATAAAGGTCTCAAAAAAGAAGAAAAAAAATCCATGTTTCCTTTACAAATAAAAAGTACTCAATTACTCAAGTAATTCTCAAGTAGAAGTAGGAAAACAGGACACTTAAACAGGAATCAAAAGTTGTTTATTAAGTGACTACCAGGACTTATACAATGCTGTACTGCAGACCAACAATCATAATTTTGCAAGAATGGTATAATGTAGCAGCAAACATGCTTCTTCAGATTTATTTCTTACTTTCTGTTTTATAAAAATCACCTCTGTGGATGATTTAGGAGCTTTAGACTACAGTCTTGATTTAGCCATCTCATCTTCACAAATTCACATACAGAATTACAAGACAACATTATGAATTTTCAGACAAGTGTTTCTGTTTCTGCAAAAAAATGGTCGTGCTTTTGAAAGGCCCAACTCCAAGACCACAGTTATCCTGATTCTAGTTCCCACTATGTCATTAAGAATTTTAAAGAAAATGTCAAATATTGCAAGCCTAAGCCGCTGAGGTCAACATTTAAAAGGAGGTCCTAAGCTTTAGGAAAAAAAAAAAAAAGGAAAAAAGAAGTTTTAAAAACATTGTATTTTGTTCTGCAGAGTCTATGCACTCTTCTTAAAAAACACGTTTCTTAAGTTCCCAGTAGAAAAACTTTGGTTTTGGAACTGTAGTTTATATTACAGTGAATGCAACAGCCTAGGGAGGTGAGAGGAGGTGGAAATGAAACTTTCAGACATTTTATCCTGGATCAGTGTTGGATGTATACATTTCTATTTCCATGAACTTATTCACTCTCTCGCAGAACCAACGAAACTTTTCAGTGTCCACCATATGCTGAGTCCCAAAGCCTAAATTTTGGAAAGCTTTAGTATTATTTTCTTAAGTCCCATGATTTCTAGAAGGACTAAATCAAGATTTCTAAGCACTGGCTTTTTTTTAAATCAGGAAACAACAGTACTTTCTACGCTTGGTTTCTCCAAACAATATGAAACTAAATCACAGCAAGACCTACTAAGGCAAGGCAGCACTGATAAGTGTTCTGCATGGGAGTAAGTGACACACTACCACTTTTTCCTCTATGCTGTGGGAGGCCAGAAATATTAGCATTCTTCCCATCAGAGGGTAAAAGAGTACTCATTTATTACCTTCTCCAGGCCCTGTGTACCAGGTTGGATGAACATTAAAAATACAATGCCCCTACCAAGTAAGGCTAAAGATCTGTTTCACCAAGTATCCAAGAGTGGCTATAAACACATGAGCACATATGAACAGGGCAAGAGCATAAAAATACGGCAAGGATATATGAACAGAGGCTGTGAGATCACTTAAGTATTTCACTTTCTGTTCACACATGTTCTGAAACAACAACACTTTTAACATATTTAATAACCATCAATTAATTTCTTTTCCACAACGTTGTGAAACCTCCTTTTTGGATCTAGGCACTCATCTTTGCATCCACAGCATAGCACCTCTGGCAGGAAGTTCCACTAGTCTACCACACACTGCGTAAAGAAACATCTGTCTGCTTTGAACCTTGTTCCCTATTTGACCTCTTCTGAGTCCGTGTTCTCCCAGCACCCTCCTCTATTCATAATTTTGAAAAACTCTATTTCCTATGCCCCCAACTCTTCCAGTCATCTCTCTTCCAAAACAAAGATCGTCTGGAACAACCACAGAGAATGGCAGGACAATTTAGAAGATGCCTATTCTCTAGAATGCATCAAGAGTTACATGACAGTCTCAATTCCTATAAACAGATGTTTTCTTTGGAAAAAAAAAGAAAAAAATCCAAAGGCTAACACCTAACAAGCTCCAGCTCTAATATACTGTGAGCATCAGCAAAATTGTTAAACTACTTCTCAGTTAGAAACTGTTTTAGAAGTACAGTTCATGTAACTGTGAATATAACACCCTGAAAAGAGCAGGATAAAAAGGAAAGCTTCGGCAGTTTTATCCAGTTGCTGAGTAAAAGACTAAAAACTTCTCAATAATGCCTTTTCTAAGACACTTACATAACATTTCTATCCAAGCTGCCAGCTCAAGTAGTCTCTGAAATGGATATTCCTACCTACAGGAGACAAGGAAAACCTAATAGAAACTGATTAACAAGATTCAGAAATGTTAAGAGAAGAACCAAAGAAAATATTGTATCCAAAAGCCACTAATGAAATTATAGCAGATAGAATATAATTCTGCTAAACGAATTAGCTGGTCAGTAACAACTTAATTATATTTCAACCATAAAGAGATTAGAAAAATACAACATGAACATTTGTCCATAGAGACTGACATTTTAAATGGCTTGCCTCTGCCTGAGATTTTCATACGAAATATGAATTTCAAATGGATTAACCATTCCTGAATAATTTCACACCATTCATAATTTCACTATTTCATTCAATCATAATTTCATTTTTACCCCAGATAAAAAAATCTCACCTAAGCCTATTTTAGTTCAAAACGAAATTCAGAGCAAATTCAGAACACCAAAAATTATTATTTGAGATAACTCCTACTTTGGAAAAGCTGCCTAACTGACAGTTCTAGGTGCCACCTCTTTTACCAATTAAAATCTGTTTTCCCCCTTCTTTAAATAAAATACACACACTTAAACATGTCTCTTTACATTTATTGATTGATTAGTAAAACATTTAACATGCAGATGACTACACTGCAGTGCTTGTAGAGAAAAACCTGTGTTTATAAGTTACTGATTTATGTCCTCTCTCCCCCCAAAATGAAGAATCTTAAAAAAGTGCTGAAGATATGTATCTGCTCTTATTACAAGGATAACATGCACTGGTCTCTAACATAGAGCTGAAAAGATTTCTACTATATTTAGGTTCCATCTTCAAATATAGGACCTACTCTCCTTTCCCCTTTTCCTTGCTTCATTTCCAGAAACCTATTTGGATTGCTAAAAGATGAAGATGCAAGAATAGAAAGATAATATGCATGAGACTGTAACAGAAGTAAATCGCAAAAAAAAAAGAGGTCTTCTCACTGTTGACTTCAATGCGATTGGACTGGGCTTATCAAGGAACAAGCAGAAACATACGTGTACCTGAATGAATCTAAAAGGGAAAACAGACACTCAGCTGCAAGTTATGTACATCAAGTAACATTATCAAACTGATTACAAATTCAAATTTGCACTGTTTACTTGCAAGCTTGTATTATTTATAATGCTATTTAAAATATCTTATGTTACCAGGTTTTAGTAATACAAATTTATGTTCAGCTAGCAAATCAGCATAGCATAGGTAGGATCTTCCTTCTGCCTCCACCACACCATGGGTCTGCATGCTGAGAGAAGGAAACTCAGTGAATCATCACTGCAATGACAGCTTTCTAAACTTCTCCAGCAAGACACTTAAGATATCCCCACACCATTCACTGTGTAGTATTTCTAAACAGGAGTTGCTACTGATAGCTCCCTCCCCTCTTACTTTTCCTATGCAACAAGTTTTTGCAGGAAGTCAGGATTTTACCTAAAACACACCTGTGCAAGGTGTCAGGTGTACTGATGCTGCTTGACAGCAACAGGAACAGCTACTAACTCTAACGAGGACGCTATTTTGTCTCCATAGATATGACTGTACCTGTTATAATCTTCACACATTTAGCCAGGCCAAGGCCCACAGGAAATAATTGTTTTGTTTGCCAGGAAGAGAGACAGAAAGCAACCCGGGAATTAGATGCCACCTTCCTCTTCCACATCCCTTTGGCTTGCTTGGCCCACAATTAGAGCAGGTTGCTACAACAAGATCTCACGCCACCAGCGCTCGGTCGTTTTGATGAAACGTAAGGTGTACCAGACGCAGGCAGGACGCGGCCAACCACAAAAATGAAGAAAGTACATCTGAAGGAAGATCACGGGAGGACAGTGAAGGGGAAACTTTCTAAAAGCGTAACTGTTACAAAATCTCCCTCTCGGGAACGGTTCGGGTTCCCCTACGCCTGCCCTGCAGGACCAGGCGGAGCGGATTAATTAGTTAAGGGTTCCCCCGAAGCCGACCTTTCTGTGCGCAACCCCTGCTCCTTTTCCCAGGCGTTACACGGCACAGCGCCTCGGCGCTCTCACCGCGGCACACCAGGCAGCCAAACGACCGCTTCTTGGGGAGGCAA